GCATTCGTTAGCTAGCTCTGTATCGAGTTTCATCCGTTTGTCAACGACAAACTGCGGTGAGAGGGCCGGTGATTGAGACCCAGCCAAATTCGTGATAAAGATTGGCTGGTTGCTGTAGTGGCAATATTTCCTTCACTCTCTTAGACTTATTCAATCGTTAGCCGAGGAACCCATCGAAGATTTTGAACCGGTCTCGCTCTATTCCATGTGAGGAATTTTGTTCAGGATGAAAACGAATCGCCACGCGATCCCTGTTTTTGCCCTCGACCACCAGCTCTCTGAACCTTTTGTCTCGGAGGATTTGAGCAGTGTGTTATGGAGCACTCATAATGGAATGGAGGCGGTTGTTATCTGACCACTCTCTAACGTGACTCGTGTATGGAACTCCAGCGTTTCTGTAGTCACCTTTGCAAGGTACTAGGGTTGTAGATTAGCGGCTATCCAGATTTGTTGTTATTGAGGATAATTTTTATAGGAAATCATCAATCGATAGGTGTTAGTAACCAGAAAATCTCTTATGTTGTTAGCTTAGAGGATATGTTGCATTCTTGATTGAAAGGCTGATAAGAAGGATATAAATAGGGGGCGTGACAGCCAGACAAGCAGTCGAGCTTGGTGAGCAAGCCAGCGCAAGGAGGTGCAACTATCGAAGGAGGTGCAACTATCGAAGGAGGTGCAAGGTTACTGTAGTTATGACTCATGTAGAATTTCTTATTTATCGTTAGAAAAATTACTTAAATTTGTAGTAACTCGTTTAATTACCCAAGTTTGAGGTATTCGTGCGTGTGCAATAAAATTGTGATCTACAAACCGCGTGGCAGAAGTACGGTGCAAGAGTTGGTGGTAGAAGTGCAAATCAAACTGGTGCATCGGACGCTGTGATTCAACCCGTGGAAGTCCGGTGGTTCAACGAGCAGTCAGCAAAGGAGAGGTTAGCAATAATCCTATTGCTTTACATACCTTAACGCTTTGCATGCAAACGCTTCTACTACCACTTCTCATTGATTGAAAAAGGAAGTATTTGGAAATCGATTAAAACCTTGCTCTTCTGCATTGGGCCATTCAATCCCGTGTCTCTGGAAAACAATGGCAACTTCACTGAGTGCACGTAGAGGGGTAGTGACCCGACAATGTAACGCTCTAGCCGAGCTAACAAAGTGTTATACCAATCTTCTACGGGAAGTTGCTTCATCGAATCGAGCTGAATATGAAGATTTGATACGCAAGCTCAATTCCGCGCAAGTACATCTGAGGACTGTGCAAGCATCACTCGAGAGGGCAATGTATGCGTTCACAGAAGCTGTCGATAATCTCGAAGCGCCGCTCAACGACGAAGAAAGAGAGCGGGTGGAGGAGCACGTAGAGAAAGCGTCCTCTATTCTATCAGAATCAGAGGCGATGGTGGCGCAGATTGAAGTACGCAAGCAAGAAACCACCCCAGGGTTAGCACTGTATTTTGGAGAACGTGCAAACATCAACGGAGGGGAGCATTTCTACGGGAATGCAAATGGCCGCGTGGAACTCCCTCGCCTTCCTATCCCAGAATTCAGCGGGAAAAGCTGGCAGTGGGATAATTTCTGGGAACTTTTCAATGCAACGGTGCATTCTCTTCCGATCTCAAACCTGCAGAAATTCAATTATTTGCTGAAAGCGCTCAAAGGAGACGCACGACAGTCAGCAGAGCGATACCAGGTAACTTCGGAAAATTACCCACTGGTGCTAGAGCACCTTCAAAGAAAATATGGCACCGTTTCATCAATCGTGAGCAGCCTGCATGAAAGACTAGAAAAATGGACAGCTCAGAGTTCTGACCTGAAAGATCAGTCCAGACTTTTTGATAGAATTTCTTCGCTTACCCAGCAATTGGAGAGTAAGGGAGAACATTTAGACAGTCCATGGTTGCTGTCCAAAATCCTTTCAAAGTTCAGAGACGATATCCGTAGGCGAGTCCTAGAAAAAAAGGTGACACTACCAGCCGAAAAAACCTGGACTCTGCGCGAACAAATGAATACGATCGAATCGGTGCTCAGGCAGGAGGAAGAAATTGAACGCCATATGGCACCAAATCCTGATCAGCACATCGCGCGGAAGCAGAAGCATGTTGTGACAGTCAAAAAGACAAAGACACCATACTGCTTTTACTGCGAATCCATAGACCATTGGCCCTCTTCATGCACGAAGCTCAAACTCCCAAAAGAAAGGGTCGAACATCTTAAGAGATCCCATAGATGTTTGGGTTGTGGGTCCAAGAACCATCTATTTTCGGAATGCAAATCCAAGGGTTGTATACACTGTGGGAAAAAGCACCACAGTTCGATATGCTTCAAAAATGCGTCAGCGACCCCATTCCTGGGAAAAGAGGAGGTAAAGAGAAACGAAAAAGTGAGAAGAACAACTCAGAATTTCTCTTCAGCAGCTGAGGATACCTCCAATAGTGGACAGGAATCCGCAGAAGTCGAGAATCCCACAGTCATGGCAGTGTCAGAATCGTCGTCAAAACAGAAAACGAACGACATCTTCCTGCTGACAGGAGTACTGAAGGTGATGCATCCAGTGACAAAAGAGCTTCAAGAGGTGGAAGTACTTCTCGACACTGGTGCAGATAAATCTTTTATAGACTCCAATCTAGCAAATGAGCTCCAGCTTCCGGATTCGGGAAGGGTAACAATGAAGCTCACAACATTTGGTTCTACTGAAAACAAAAAGATCCAGTGTTCGCTGACATATCTCGACGTGTGGGATGAAAAAGGGAAAAAGCACACACTTCGTCTTTTTACGCACAGCACGTTGACTACGAACCTCAAAAGCGGAGCCCTCGACAAAGAAGATCTCAAGTTCATCAGACGCAAGCACATACACGTATGTTCTGCGACCGAAAAAGGACTAGTGCAACCGAAAATCCTGCTAGGCTGTGATCAACTGTGGACCTTCATCAAATTTGAGGCCGCACACTACAGCTTACCTTCGGGTCTACTCCTCATTCCTACCCGGTTTGGTTATATGCTGTCTGGACAGAAATATATAGGAAGCTCAACCATTTCTGAGCACGCATCTGCTTTGGTACACTCGTTCCAGATGGAGGATGAGTTGCAGCCCTGGGAGCAATACTGGGATTCCGAGTCACAAGTTCCAGCCAAAGAATTTACAGGGCCAGAAAAAGAAGAAAAGGCGAAAGTCAATAAACAGGTACTCCAGGAGTTCAATGACACCATCCAGCGAAGAAGTGATGGTTATTACGTCCGAATTCCGTTTAAAACGGATCATGCCGAATTGCCTGACAACAGAGCATTAGCTTGGAAGCGGTTGAAAAGCATCCTGCAGACGTACGCTGACCAACCATTGGTGCTGGAACAATACGATCAGGTCTTCAAGGATCAGCTCCAAAAAGGCATTCTCGAAGAAGTGCACGAAAGCAACGACTTGTTCGCGGTAAAGAAACATTACCTTTCCCATCTGCCGGTATTTACTCCACACAAAGAGACCACGAAATTCCGTGTGGTATTTGACGCTTCGGCACATTACAAGAACTGCCCATCACTCAACGATGTGACACACCAAGGGCCCACTATGCTTCCGAAGCTCTACAGTATTCTACTACGCTTTCGTGTTGGCAAATATGTCCTACTGTCGGATGTAGAAAAAGCATTTCTCCAGGTGCGCCTACAGGAGAGGGATAGAGACTATACGAGATGCCTATGGGTCAAAGACATCAACAAGCCCTGTACCGAAGAGAATTTGGCGGTGTACAGATTCACACGAGTTACCTTCGGGATCAACGCTTCTCCCTTCCTTCTCAGCGCAACGATCCTTTTCCATCTCAAAAATTCTGTCGAAAACAAGGATCTCGCAGACGAGATAGCAGCAAATCTCTACGTCGACAATTTATTCTCGTACGCGCAGACAAAGGAAGACGCTATCCAAAAGTATGCTGATTTGAAGGAAATTTTCTCCGGCATACAAATGAACTTGCGCGAGTTTATTGCCAACAGCCCAGAAATAATGGACTCCATAGCAGAACAAGATCGGTCTTCCAATATGTCACCCAAAGTTCTGGGTCTGCCTTGGGATTCGACATCAGACCAGTTCAAATTGAACGTCGTAGTAGAAGAGAAGATTTTTGTCAGCAAACGTGTGGTGGCACAACAACTCGCTTCCATCTATGATCCTATGGGATGGTACATACCCTTACTGGTACAAGCGAAGCGTTTTCAACAACAGCTGTGGAAACGACAGTATGATTGGGATGAACCCCTCGACGAGCAAGACAAGGAGGCTTGGCTAGCAATAATCAGGAGTGTAAGCGGATTCACTCATAAAATTCCTCGCAGGATCACTGATCTGGAACGATCGTATTCGCTCGTCACCTATACTGATGCGAGTTCTTTGGCGATGGCTGCCTGTACATATCTCTCCACTGAGAACGAATCTCATCTAGTGATGGCAAAATCGAAGGTTTCGGACGCTCAGAAGGAGACAACAATCCCAAAGCTAGAGCTCAACGCCCTTACAATAGGAACGCGATTGTCTATCAACGTACTTCGGAGTCTGTTACCTGTTATACACATTTCTCGCATCCTAATCTTATCAGATTCGGAAATAGCACTGAAGTGGATCTCGTCACCAATTCATCGCAGCAACGGTGTCTTCGTAGCGAACCGAGTGAAAGAAATCCGGAGAATCGTAGAAGAGCTTGCTACATTGGGAGTCTCTGTGCAGTTTGGATATATCGAGACCGCAAATAATCCTGCAGACTGCGGTACAAGAGGAGTGTCATCCAAGGACTTCGCAACTCATAAATGGTGGACAGGATACACGCTCAAAGAAATCAACGAAAGTCGTGTCATGCGTAACACCGTCACTATGCCAGAAGAAGATGGAGAGGAAATAATGGAGTCAGTGGATGTTCACACAATACAGACATCGGATGATTTCGAAGTCACCGACATCATAGACCTCCGAAGATTCAGTTCTCTAACGAAAGCGAAAAGGTCAATGGCCTATGCTCTGCGATTTTTGAAGAAACTGTGCTCACGCGTTGAAGGAGAATTACAGCGCAAGCTGCAAGATCACCTTCCGTGGCTTGGACACGTTGTAAAAGGAAGTTCCTTGTCAGCGACAGACATGCTTGATGCACATCACGTTCTCTTGAGGAACCATCAAATGGTACACATCAACACGCCGTATAGGAACGCGCTATCGAAGAACTTGAATCTGAAGGAAGACAACGCTAGGCTTCTACGGACTTACGGACGTCTCAATAAATCTGATTTGGATCCAATGGCGAAAAATCCTATCTTCATCGTTCCACACACCGAGCTTTCCCGTATGATCATCTCAGAAGCTCATGGGACCTACCATAGGAGCACAGCGCACACCATGTCCGAAGTACGACAGAGATACTGGATACCAAGATTACGAGAGCAGGTCAAAAAGTACATACATCAATGTGTGCCCTGTCAGAAAGCTAACAGCTTGCCATTCAAATATCCCCAGATGACAGACATTCCTGGATTCCGTGTTACAAAAGCACGACCGTTTCAACACATCGGCTTGGATTACTTTGGTCCATTGACAGTTTTCCGGGAAGACATGGTCAAGTACTCAGTCTACGGCTGTATATCTACGTGCGCTGTAACAAGGATGCTTCATCTCGAGATAGTGCCAGATGGAACGACAGAGAAATTCCTTAACGCATTCAGACGATTTGTTGCCAGACGTGGAAAGCCAGATACGGTGACTTGCGACAATGCACCAACATTCCTATTGGGCAGCCAGATCTTGAATGAATCGACTCAAACGAGGGAGGCAGATGAAGAAGTGGAGAAATTGATGAGTAACGAAGGGATAGAATGGCATCACATAACGCCCTACTCGCCATGGAAGGGCGGATTCTACGAGCGTCTCACAAAATCAGTAAAAAGCTCGATGTACGAAACTATAGGACGGCGAATTCTTACCATGGAACAGCTCGCTCACGACCTTGCTTGCTGAAGTAGAGGCATGTCTCAACACACGTCCATTAACCTACCAGGAGACGGACTACGAAGACAACGTACTTTCCTTGCGACCGATAGACTTCATTCAAAATGGAATGACTATCAATATTCCGTTCGACTTTTTGAATGAAGATCAAACTGATCCATCATACATTCCTCCTAGCGAACTTCCTCGGTTCAGGACACGACTACAAGTTGTAAATGCTTTGAAGTCATCGTGCGCATTAACGGAACGTTTTTGAAAAGTGTGGTAAAATTCATACTTAACCGCACTACGAGAACAGCACCGCCGTGATATCGACAACAAAAGAGGTTCTTCAAACCAACCGAACGAAGGAGAAGTTGTATTGATAGTGGATCCATGCCAAAAAAGAGCCTTTTGGAAAATTGGCCGGATAGAAAAACTAATCCATAGCAGTGATGGCGCCGTACGAGAAGTTGAAGTTAGCAGTGGACGAAATAGCCTCCGACGGCCAATCAATCAATTGGTTCCTCTAGAAATACACGATCCTCAAAACCATGCTCATGACAATAAGAAGGCTAGCGATGACGATTTATGTGAACAGCAGCAGAAACATGACGAGGAAACAGATCAGAAAAGAAAACGGTACAATCTTCGTCCAAGAGCCACTCGCCATCCAATCTCGACCGGAGAGACCTTCATCGACTCGCCCACCAAGAGATATGCAAGGGCGAACTCACGATCTAGTACGACTTGTCTGCAGTTTCTTATGGTCGTCGTCATGACTGTTGTGGTGACTGGACGACGAACTCTGTCTTCAACACAACCGAACATCGATCTGTCAGAAAAGCACTCGATAGAATGTCGACCAGGAGGAATTTACCTTCATTCTCCAAGTTCATCGGCATACGAACTCTGCGTGAATGACTACTGTGTTGCGGATCATGCCCCACCCATACACAAAGTGATACACGTTCCTACACGATACCTTCTTCATAAATACGATGCGCAGTGAAAAGTCAGGGAAGGAGTAAACTTCTCAGTGATTGAGACAACATGTCCAGCTCAACCTTTCTGTGGATCTATCAAATGTACGTTCTGCTTGGAAAACGTTCTTAATCCGGAGTGCTGGCCGACGGCAGCGATTGTAGGCGCAGGAGTATTGTCCTACCTTCTAATCGCATTATGTTACACCATCTGCTATGTACCAGTGACAATAGGACGTTCACTCCGCCTGCTCTGCAAAGGAATCCGCTGTGCTTGTTGCACACTTGGGAGCTTGTTGTTCGAATGTATTCGATACATGGTTTTCAACTTGCGAAGGCAACGAACTCATCACTCAAGGCGGCTACTAGAAGCATTGGCTGTTTGCGGACTTTTAACAACTGTCTGGACGTGCCAGACAGTCAATGTCTTCTCACATGAGCTGAAGAATTGCGTCACAACATCAGGACGGACAATATGTAGCATAGAAATAGCATCTGTTCTGAAAGTGAATTCGTTCAAAAGAGAAGCCTGCATCCGGCTGCAGCACAATGGTTCCACCGCTATGGAAATCAGATTTGACTGGATCGGATTGCGCCTGCTGTGTGAAAAGGGAACAACGATGTACACACGAAACGTAGTTCAGAAAGTCATTGATAGCAAGAGATGCGCCCGTATGGGATCTTGCATTGAAAACAAATGTGCGAGCATAAATTCTACAAGCATGCTCGAGGAGCTTTCCATTGGCAACCAATTCCCAAGAACAACCTACTGTCTGGAACATTGTGGCGGACTAGGGTGCGGTTGCTTGACTCCAAGCTCGGGATGTCTCCTGTACCGAATTTACGCTGTTCCTGCAGATGACGAAATCTATGAACTCTTCAATTGTGTAAAATGGCAGGAAGAAGTCAAGCTAAAAATGCAATTGAGAAGACACAAGGAGCGTAAATTCATGAGCTACGTACTCGCGTTAAGACCGAACGTACCAATCCAACTACCATCCATCACGACGACGCTCAGTGTACTCTCATGGCAGTACTTCAAGCTTCTTGAAGCGACATTCGTCAGACGAAAAAACGCAACTGCCCTTTGGACTCCTTCAAAATCGCCATTACTGCAATGCTCGTCAAAGGAGAAAGCAAAGTCGTTACAGTGCTCACTTCTGCATTCATGTGACTGCACCCCAGCAGAATCCCAAGTAACATGTCGCTGTGAAAATCAGGACATTGCAGAAGAATTTCATCAAATAGGAAACGTTCTGCCGGTAACATACCCATTTGTGAAGATGGCTAATCATCCGCACCACGATGTGATAGCACATATTGAGCACGGCGTAACGGCAGAGCTTGTTGTGAACGTGAATGAGACAGTAGACAACATTGTAACCGAAGTTACGGATGAAGTCTGCTATATTGCAAACACACACATATACGGATGCTACAGCTGCAAGGAAGGAGCAAGAGCCAAAGTAACTTGTTTCTCATCGGGAAGCACCTTCGCTGAATTGGATTGTGGAACCGAAACTTTCACCATTCCCTGTTCACCTATGAAGGAAGAATCCACGCTTCGCTTTCTGATATCAAATGCTCAAGTACAACTAAAGTGCTCCGTCGCTTGTGGGAAATCGCCAACGTACGAGATCAATGGCATCCTTAAATATGTACATTCACTTCACGATGGACTCAAGCAAGTGAGTATACCAGCGCACAATGTAACTTCGGACTTCGACTGGCCCGATTTGGGCCACATCCTGCAAGTGTACTTACAATGGTATAAGACAGTGGCAATAACATTTGCCTTTGTTGGTCTAGCGCTACTGACCAGTTATCTCTATCTGGCAGCTGCATGCAAGAAGATTTTGCACGTCACGCTCAGATTATGTACGTGCACCGCAAGACGTGTCATTCGACTTCCTGTGTACGCTGCATGGCTAGCAGTACAGTGCTTGTGGAAAGATCACCCTACAGCACAGAAATTACCAACGAAAACGCTTTGAATCGATTCGCGGAATTAATCTGCATGCAAATTGTAAATATGGTTCGATTACTTATCTATCCACTCAGTACAATGGACAAAAACGACGACTCCCTCGAAGAGCAAATCAAGAAGCGCAAGGCTGAAAAAAAAGACTGATCGAACAACTTCGACTGAAACGTGCGTGCGTTCGGCTGATGCCCACCCTACCAACAGAAGGAGAGGTACAGAAAAAGATGAAGAAGTTTTTGGAACTCATCCTTACTATCACACGGTCGAATAATCTAGCAGACGAAAGCGCCGAATTATTCGGACAAAGACTCACACTTTTTGCGAGGAGGGAAGGAACATTGTACAAATGCAAGGTTCAAAACATACAATTGAAGGTTCAGTTCGTCAAGGAGCGAATCCTGAGTGCAGTACAAGGAATGGCAATGTGCAATGAGACTTATGGACTACTAATCTTAGCAAATGTTGAAACTGAAAAATCAAAGGAGAAGTTCTACGACCAAAGGCCCGACGGTATTCCACTAGAGCCAGCGTTTGTGAATGAATTCGTTGGGAAAGAAATCGATTTCTTAGACGAGCTTTTGCGTAACATAGATACCGAGTTGCACGAGGCCTCACATCAGATAGCCAATGAGGATCACGGAAGCATCTATGAGAACGTCCTACAAATCATGGCACAATTTCAGAAAAGTATGGATCAATTGGACAAAAGTCTAAATTCCCAACTACAACAGCACGGAGAGACACTGGCACGATTGGACTCCTCCATGGAAGCCATCCAGAAAGAGTTCGAAGGTTTCAGATCAATGACGAAGAGCGTTGACGAAGTCAATCAAGAAGAGGCAAATGAGGACACTCAAAGCAAACGTTCCGATGATGGCATATTGGAGGACCTTTGGGAAGTTGGCACCGAGGACGCCACTCCTCCTTCAGAGAATGACAAAGGCAAAACACACGAAGAATCTCGAAAGGAACAAGGCGAAGACGGACAGAATAAGGAGTGTAACGACGATGGACAAGATTCAGAGACGGAAAGGATTCGTAATCGGCAAAGACGTCGAAGGAAAATAACAGAGCGAATGGAGAAAATACTGAGGAAAATCAGCGATAGAAGACTTCCCCCGAAGCGCATTTTCACCATTAGGAATCAAATGAGGAAAGGAGAAAAATTTCTGAAATGCTCCTTCTGCAACGTGAAAGGACTTCATTATAGCGACAGTTGTCCTGAGTACAGAAGTGTTGAAGATCGGACAGAAAGGATAAGGTGCAAATTGTGCCTTGACACGAAACATCGAACGAAGAGATGTAAAAAGGATGTCCACTTGTGCAAGTACTGCCAGTCAGCAAGGCATCATACTGCACTGTTCTCTTCCGCAAGAAAGATGTGAGTTAGAACTCGAGTACTCGGAGCTCACCAAGATATTACAGTCAATCGATGGGGACGATGAACCGCCGAGGAAGCGCCGAAGTTCGACAGCGCCGCGTGACGATGATGATGCAGATAGCCCGTCAACATCTCGGAGGGCGGAGTATCACGAACGTGATTGAAGTGATCGAATTGTTGTCGTGATTGTGCTATTGTACTAGGGTTGTAGATTAGCGGGCTATTCAGATTTGTTGTTATTGAGGAATTAATTTTTTATAGGAAAATCATCAATCGATAAGTGTTAGTAACCAGAAAATCTCTTATGTTGTTAGCTTAGAGGATATGTTGCATTCTTGCAGCCAGCGCAAGGTGCAACTATCGAAGGAGGTGCAAGGTTACTGTAGTTATGACTCATGTAGAATTTCTTATTTATCGTTAGAAAAATTACTTAAATTTGTAGTAACTCGTTTAATTACCCAAGTTTGAGGTATTCGTGCGTGTACAATAAAGTTGTGATCTACCAACCGCGTGGCAGAAGCACGGTGCAAGAGTTGGTGGTAGAAGTGCAAATCAAGAAATTATGGGTCAACCCAGTAGTAGGAACTAGCTACCTTATCACTAACTTCATTGTACGGACGGACAGAACGACATGCGCATAGACAACCCTACACACCAGAGTCATGGTTTATATAATGAAGTGATAATAGGATTATGCTCTACTTACCGGATGCGGATTCACTCGTATGTTGCTCATCGCCAAAAGCCTGAACAGTGAAGCGCAGAGTCAAAGCACTATTCTCCGCGTGCATAAACCGATAAGACGTAGCCTGGCAAATGTGTCAGAGTGTCAGTCAGCACTTGAACAGTTCTATCAAAATTAGCGTACTGATGCGGAACGAATAGCTTTTCCAGCCCATTTCTGTACGATGAGTAATTGTGCATGTTTGTGTTTGTGTGTTTGACCGGAAGTTCATAGCGCGCCTAGGACGTTCATGGGTATTAGCCTGTATGGCTTTGATGACATCCGTCAAATGCTTTAAAAAGATACGTGTTCTCAAATAGAAGAGCCCGGCTATGCTCAGTTCAACTGCAGGGTACTTTGGCATACGCGCGGTAGGCAGCGGAGCCAAATTATCATTTTAGAAGCATTAGAAACACCAAAACCGACGAGTCCTGCGTCATCTTATAGACTGTGGAAGTGAAATGTGATTCTTATCAAGAATCTGTCGAGCAGGGGATGGATGTTTCCATCCCCTGCTTTGCTGTCAAACTGAATAGGAAAAAAATATTAACTTCTCTTTGCTACGCTACTCGCTTTTATCGGTCCTGATCAGCAGTTTATCAGTATCCATCACCCACTAACCACACTGGTGTGCAAGACTTAGGCAAGGAAGTTTCGCATGATATCCCACTGCTGCCAACCTAGGTTGATTAAATTTGGCGCACACATTGAGTAAATGTTGCTCTACAGCGCAGAGAGTCAGTAACAGAAAAGCACAACGGGACGGTGAGAAAAGGCACATTTCTTTGAAGACAGTGTCTGAAGCGGAACGGGTGAGGCTACTCTAACCCATTCTAAACATTCAGAAGAAAGGAGTTGGTTCCAGTGGGTTGTATGAAGACTGCGAAGCATGCTTTGTTACGAGCTTTCACACTGGCCAGAAAGTTGTCTAATTGTAAGAGTTCTTGTGGAGGAGTGTTCCATTCTTCGAACACCCGGAGTGACAACCACTCGAAAGTTGTTGGCGCATAGGGTGCGCTACAGTAGCTCTCCTCAATGCACGCCAGACGTGCTCCATCGGATTTCGCCGAAGCGGATAAGCTCCACTAAGCACTTTCTTGCGAACTTTGGACGAAGACTATAAGCAAGCACTGCTCAAGCAACGTGGACTTCAATCAAGTTCTTTGCACGCATATGAAAACTTGCGAAAGAGTGCTACCAAGACCTCTTGAACTTTGATACAGACAGTTACCATGTTCTATCTTGTTTACCAGCTAGACCCAGGGCTGATGATGGCAAAATTGGAGGTAGAATCCATTCAGCGCTCAACAACACATCCAATTTTATATGTCGCCTTGGCCACATCCGCCTACGATCCTTCCTTAACGAGAATCCAAAGTCAAATATGTATATAATGAACAGGAAGGTGCACACCTGCATACCGCTAAATTTGCATAAGTCTGCACAACATTACCGTTTGAAGTATCCATTCATTCCGCACCGCCCAATGAAAGGGATCGAAACCTACGTCATAAGCGAGTACCACCGGGGCACGACTTTTAGTATTCTCGCCATCACGTTCAACGATGAGTAACTTTATGCTGAAAATGCATCTCTTGTTGATGTATTTGAGTTGCCTCATATCTAAAAACATAAACCGAAAGTGTGATATGTCCGCCTCTTTGCCTCTCTTTTCATCACTGGGCGGGATAGATTTCTCACTTGAAAAATCGCCTAACACATTGTAATTAGCACTGTGCATCCTGCATGCGTGGTGTGACTCACAATTTCATCCCAGACAGCATCCTTTTCTTTTATTTGACATTTTTCAATGTTCTGAACTGTTTGCACTCATTTTCACAGTCGAAAAACATTATGAGTCATCAGTGAATAAGTTGTTGACAGACTAATGATGATTTTTTCAAATAACCCAAGGGAAACCGGAGATGCTCGTACAGCAGCGGTCTGCAATGTATTATAGAAACTACCCCATGATCTTCATACACGTTGCCTGTGGCACAAATTACAGTTCCTGGAACTTTGGGCACGCTTCACTGGCGGCGGGCAGGCTTACGCCATCGCGGGCTGGGCATTTTGGTGGCGGGCGACTTCTTCAGGATATTAGTTGCAGTTCATTCTGCTGAATTCAGCCTTTTTGTCTTTTTTTATTACCATTTTGGTGTGGGAAGCACACTTTCCAAGGTGCAGCTTCATGTCGCCTATTGACCATAGCATTTCCATTACTAGACTTATCCATAATTCTTGCAGCAAATTACATTGAATGCTATAATTTTTCGAGATCTCCAAGACTTGACTCGGATGCATCCGACTTTTTCCAAGTGTTGCCGTGCAGCAAAAGCGGTGCATCGATTAATTGACAACGTCCCATGCCGAAACCCAGTGTATGTTGATGTTCTTTAGCAATAGGGTGCGTTGTTTTAATCGTGTTTTACGCTCCAATCCCTCCAATTTGTTCTTTTTGAAGTATGCCATTTTTAAGAAAGGTATTGGTGAGGTCATTTGAGTTGGTGCGGGTTTGTAACACTTGGTTGATGTTTTTCGTTACCGACTTTAGTTATGTTGCTGCTCATGTGTGTTTTCACATGTCCACAAATAAATAAATAACTAATTTCGCGACATCTTTGTTGAGGTAGCATTCATTTTTGCAATGCGAGCCAACCGACCTGCTCGCTGTCCCGCTACTTACGCCGTTTTTGTCAAAAGCTCTTCGGGTCTTTAATTTTTACGTGTACTGCTTGGAATGTTCCGCAAGTCCACACTGAGGAGTGAGCAGAAACTAGGCAAGGGCACGGTCTCTCAATTCACGGTGCATCAGCGCTTCACTCTGCTCAGCGTTGACTTTTTTATCTGAATATAATCCACACTCCAACCACCCCGTGTCTGGCCATCACGATGCTCTATCCGACGCTGTTGAAAAGTGATCTGGATAGACTATTGATCACGTGCCAGAGTAATTCAAATGCGACAAGGAGACAGCATCTAGGCATCTCCCAAGGATTATAAGTATTCGGAAATATAGTTTGGATCCCACATACCTTGAACTAGAACCAGCTCCAAACACGATCTGACATCGTTATTTTCAAGTCAACTCACTATGGATTCTTACATCCATAACATTTGCCGATGATGAAGAGAAGGTAAGGTGTGCTAACAAATGAACAAGCGGCAACATTCTGGCTCGAACGCTTTGGGAATTCTGACTGCTTAATTTCAATTCTGTTCGAGTCGGGGTTTGGTTTGATATGAGAGAAGTTGAGCTCTAGAAACCTTATAAGCGGATGTCGCTGTCAGTCAAAGATCTACATAGCTTTTGATACAGAAGAAGTGAAAAGGTCTATTCTTTTGAAGCACTATTGCATCTCCCCCCATTGTTAAGAAAACCCAGGAAAATTTCAATACTCTTGGAGAGAGTTCGTTCATATCCACCTTATAGCTCCTAGCTCGTGCCACCACCTACTTCCCTCTCAAGACCACTTCCAGAGTTCTTCAACAGATGCTTCCTAGAACAACTTTTAGTGTGTTCGCTGTAGGATGTATTAGGTTGTCTCATAAATAGTGTCGCTTTTCTTCAACCGAGAAAATTTCATCTAAATCCCCATGCTTTTACATCGATCATATACCATTCAAAAGAGAATTGCCTGCTCTACAAGCCTTTGTGTTCCACTTCCTTTTGTATTACAGGGTTTTCAAATTCTAGGCCTGTGAAGGAGGTCCTAACGACAAAAATTGACCAAACCGACAACTATCTCTAACTTTATTTTCCCTGCGGAGAAATCAATCAATGATGAACCTTCTACTTACTCATGACCTCTTCTGAACATTCCACCCTTAGGTTGCCGGAAAAGGTTTGCCTTGTTTCTTTTCGAATTGGCCGACTGATAAGCCATGGCAATTTTCAAATTGAAATTCTTCCTCTTAAACGCTATTGTTTTATATCAACTGGTGTTTCTTTTGTGAGCACTTGTTCTGTTCTATTCGCTCATTTGTTTTGTTTTAATGTTTGTTAGGAATATGCTCGAAGTTTAGGTGTTTAGGAGTAAGGTGCTTCATTCACGAAAGTCACCGCATTTCTTTGAAAAAAATCACCCCTAAGAAGATGAGAAAATCAATCAGGTGTACACTACTAACTTAGTCATGACTTGTTCTCTGGATTCTACTAGTTTTTCAATGCCTCGACTATAAAAAACTTCGACTTCTATCTTAGGTAATTGTGCTTGACCGTCGAGTTCCGGCTGAAAAACCAGGACTGGAAATGGAATGACGCGACTTGTTGGGAAACC